ATATTCTATTGTCCTACACCAACCCTACACCTAAACCTACACCTCACAGGAAACTTTGTGCATTTTTAGATTTTCAAAAAACTTAATTCTGTGTGATTTATTAGCTTGTTTACCCGTGGGGACCTCAATTTAGGTCCTCACCGTGACACGAGTCCCCATGAGTCTGTATGTATTCAGGTTTAAGTCCCCACCAGAATAGAAAAACAGGTACACACACACACAGCATTAATGCTAAATATGTTTTTTCAGACATGATCATCTGGACATGTTAGAGGCATAAAAAGATAGATGATTCTCTACCAGAGAGAGGTTTCTTTTTGGTTTGTAGTGTTCACAGGAGGTGGAAACAGGTTCATGCATACATGGGCCAGGGCACAGCAATCACATCAAAGCCAATTACAGGGAATAATAATTAACGGTAGGGAATAACGGATACACTTATGTGTGTGTCTGTGTGGAAAGAACATGGTTCCACATGCAACTGTAATGTGATGGTGAGAATATCACACACCTCACTGTCACAGTTTTGCTCATACTGACTGTGAGGTCATTTGCTTTCTCCTCACAGTCCATTCTTATCTGCTTTGTCTCTGCTTTGTTGAAGTTTCTGTATTTATATTTAATTATTTAGCAGATGCTTTTCATCCAAAGTGAGGACAATAGTAGCAATCAAACCAACAAAAGAATAATAATATGTGACCCTGGCTGTGAAAACCCAGCTAAAGTCTTTTTTTTTGTTGTGATTTACTGTTTTCTACATAAAACCATCTTTCATAAGGTAAAGAACATTCTGTGAAAATGTAACCTTGATATCTTTAATGTCGACTGAGTAAAGCCATGTCAAAGATTGAAATCATAGTGAAATTAATGGTCGAAATCAAACTTTGATGCTTGTTATCTCATAACTAGATTTTGAGACTTTAGCCTGGATTTCACAGAGAGGGTCACATATGTAAGTGCTGTGACAAGTCCCGTTTAGACTAACACATAGCCCAACACAGTTTTTATTTATTTATTTATTTTTAAATAATAAATAAAAAATAATGAAAAGTAGATCAAATAGAAATAGAACAGAGAGAGCTATAGTGTTAGAGGGTAAAGGATATATATATATATATATATATA